ATATACAATTTATTCACCTAAAGATAATCAACCATGTATGGATCATGATCGTAGTAGTGGTGAAGGTGTTGGTCCACAAGAATATACATTAATTAAACTTCGTATTCATGATGATCATATACCAAAAAAATTAAAACCTCATATAACATCATCAACACCTGGTGTTTATTTAGCTGCTGCTACTCTTCGACCAGAAACAATGTATGGTCAAACAAATTGTTGGCTTCATCCAGATATTCGTTATGTAGCATTTGAAACACGTTTACATGGTATTCTTATATGTACACGACGTGCAGCTCGTAATATGGCTTATCAAGAATTTACTAATGTCTATGGTCAATATACTGTCTTAGCTGAATTTCTTGGTTCAGAATTATTTGGATTACCACTACATGGACCACTTTCACATTATGAAACAGTCTATGTATTACCTATGATGACAATTAAAGAAGATAAAGGTACAGGTGTTGTTACATCAGTACCAAGTGATTCACCAGATGATTATGCTGCTTTAATGGATATTAAAAATAAGGTAAAAGAGAAATTATTCAACTTTTTTTTTTTTTGTTTTGTCTTTTGATTTAAAATTTTTATTTTTTTTGTAAATAAAAGCCTAATTTACGGGAAAAGTATGGCATTAAAGAATCAATGGTATTACCATATGATCCAGTAGCAATTATCGAACTTGAACCATATGGTCGTCTTGCAGCACCTACAATTTGTAGTCAAATGAAAATTCAATCACAAAATGATCGTGATAAATTATTAGAAGCAAAAGAAAAAATTTATACAAAATCATTTTATGATGGAATACTTTTAGTTGGTAAATATGCAAATACAAAAGTATCTGAGGCTAAAAAACTTGTTCGTGATGATTTAATTACAAATGGACAAGCATGTAGTTATTATGAACCAGAAGGTAAAGTTATTTCACGATCAAATGATGAATGTGTTGTTTCACTTGTTGATCAATGGTTTCTTGATTATGGTAATGAAAAATGGAAACAAGAAGCTAAACGTGCATTAGATAAAATGAATGTTTATCACACAGAAACACGTCATCAATTTGAAGCTGTTTTAAGTTGGTTACATGAACATGCATGTTCACGTTCATATGGTCTTGGTACAAAATTACCTTGGGATGAACAATATTTAATTGAATCATTATCTGATTCAACTATTTATATGGCTTATTATACTGTAGCTCATCTTTTACAAGCACGAGATTGTTTTAGTGGTGAAAAATTAGGTAAGAAATTTATTAAAGATCAATTTTTCTAAACAAATATTTATCTTTGATTATCTTATGTATTTTTTTTTTTGTAGGTCCAGCAAATATTCTTCCATCTCAATTAACAATCGAAGTTTGGGATTATATATTTTTTCCTGAAAAATCTTATCCAGCTTCAACAACAGATATTCCTCATGCAATACTTGATCATCTTCGTAGTGAATTTCAATATTGGTATCCAGTTGATTTACGTTCAAGTGGAAAAGATTTAATTCCAAATCATCTTACTTATTCACTATATAATCATACGGCTATTTGGCCTAATCATCCAGAATTATGGCCACGTGCATTTCGTGCTAATGGACATTTATTATTAAATTCAGAAAAAATGTCTAAATCAACAGGCAACTTCTTAACACTAGTACAAGCAATTGAAAAATTTTCTGCTGATGGTTTGTATTGGTTTTCTATAAATCGGTTGACTACCAATGCTCGATTATTATAGTCAGATATCTTCAAATTAGTTTGATCATTGTTATCAGCGAATACTGATCACCCAATTAGCTTAGGTTTCTTTTTCTAGATTAATCATAATATATAAACGTTTCATTTCTTTTACCATAAAATGTTTAACTTAAGAGATATGAAGACTCTTTCTTTACATCAAAGTGTAGTTTCGGCTATGCTCTATCTACAATATGAAATTCAAGTATTAGTTATTAATAATTTTTTGAAATATAATTATTTTACTATGATCGTAATTTTTGAAGTTTTCTTCCAAAAATCTTCAAAACTCATCAGAGTAGTACTCTTTTCATCTTGAAATTGCAACGGATACCATAGAATGTCTTTCGATTATTTACACAAAGTATTAGGGTTAATTAGTACATCAATCGAAGTATTCATTGAAAATGCATACCGATTAGTGAAATGTATGTAGAGAGATAAGAGTGAAGATACGAGGGTTGACCATAACTACCATATTTTTTGTAGTTGATGTCTATTATAATTATGTAAAAATATAATAAGCTTCATGCTTACTCGAACCCAACGTATTCTCGTGTGATTTACACGTTTCTAACTTCACATATAGTTGCATCGCGATGTTTTTCTTACATTTTCGAATTAAAAAAGAAACTAAGGAACTCTAAAAACTTGTAGAGAAATTCCTATGCTCATATTTAAAGAGTTGAATAAAAAAACAGAAATGTAAACGTATCTCTTTTTATATATTAGGTATGCGTTTAACATTAGCTGATGCTGGTGATTCAATTGAAGATGCAAATTTTGAAGAAGAAATGGCTGAAGCACAACTTTTACGTCTTTATACATTTATTGAATGGGTTAAAGAAGTACTTAATATTAATTTAGTCGATATTGAAGAAGAAGAAGATGATTCAAAAAAATCATCAGAAGATAATGCAACAATTGTTTCATCAGTTATTCATTGGGTTAAAGATAAGTTACATCTTTCATCTAGTTCAGATAGTACACATGAAGAATTTACTCAACAACAAAAAAATCATTTTCGAACAGATACAAAATATAATTATTATGATCATGTATTCGAATCTGAAATAAATCGTGCAATTCAATTAACAGAAGAAAGTTATGAAAAAATGTTATATAAAGATGTTCTTAAATATGGTTTTTTTGAATTACAAATAGCACGTGATAATTATCGTGAATTATGTTCCGAAGGTGAACAAATGAATTTACATCTAATTAAACGATTTATTGAAGTACAAGCAATTTTATTAGCACCAATTTGTCCACATATTTGTGATTATGTTTATCAATTTCTTCATCCTGGTAAAACAATTATGAATGCTAAATGGCCAAAAGCTGGTAAGGAAAGATTTCATAGAATAGAAAAAATATCAATTCATGATTTTTTTTTTAAACTGAAAAGTTATTTATAATAGAGGTTATACACAGAGATGAAGAATTCGCTGCTAAAGTCAAAAAAAAATTCTTCCAGCGAAGAGAAGTTCTTGAAAAAAAAAGAGAGAGAAACAAGACTACAATGCACTCAAAATAACGTTATGTAAACCATAAATTAGGTTCATCAATTATTGTAGTGTATAGAACTCTACTGGTTTGCATCATCAAGGGAATCGATTCTTCTCTTTGTCTACATATTACTCTGTTTCTCTACATGGCCTCTCTCTCATACTATATAACTATGTTATTTTCATATCTTTATTATGTACTACTATTTAGCTTAGTATTTACTTGATTCAACCTTGATTAGATTCGATTGTTCTTCTGATGATATGTGTATAATCAGAGTTGATGATTTAGATTAGAGCGATATGTTCAACTCAACATCGTGCGTAATCTTTAACAAATAATTGTTGTGTATTATATATAATTATATAGTTGAAGGATAAAAAATTACTTTGAAAAAGTTTTACTCAATTGAATGTAGGATTTCATTTATTAATGAAATTGTTTAAATCTAATTCTAACTTTTGAATCAGTCATTATATTATATACGAAGAATTTTCTTTTTGTTTTGTCTGATATAACTTGTTTGTTAATAAACTTTATATGTACATTATTTTTCAACAAATACAACATATTTATTTATTGATTTTCATATAATTTAATGCTGAATTTTTTCCAATGAGAATATTAGTATTATTTGTAACTTTTAACAATTAATATATAAGATTTGTTTTTCTTTCTATTGAAATAGGTAAAATTGATCAATCATTAATTGATTCATGTAATTATTTAATGAATACAGCTCATGATTTTCGTCTTCGTCTTAAAACTTATACAACTCAACAAACAAGTGGTAAAGCAAAAGGAACAAAATCTCAACCACCATTATCACCAACACATGCAACAATATATGTTGCACGTTCGTATCCATCATGGCAAACATTTGTTGTTAGTGAATTAAAAAAATTATATCTTGCCAATAATCATTCATTACCTGATAGTAAACAATTATCAATTCATTTTAAAGATCGACCAGAAATTGAGAAAAAATATCAAAAAAAATTAATGCCATTTGTTATTTATTCAAAAGATATATTAGAAAAAAGTCGTAATGTAACCGCATTAGATCAACATTTATCATTTGATGAATATCAAGTTTTACAATTTAATCAAGATTATCTTCGACGTGCACTTAATGTCGAACAAATTGATATTCGTTTAACTGATGATAATAATATAGATGCAACAACATTAAGTAATTTAGAAGATATTATACCTGGTAAACCCATAGTACATTTTCGTCATGAAGCATCAATTACAATACGTTTGATTAATCGTCAACCATATGCACCAAATTTTGAATGGTCTATACCAGTTATGAATGGTGATACAATTGAACGAATAGAATTACGTTTAAGACAACATGGTGATCGACAATTAAGATCAAGTAATAAGATTCGTTTATATTATTTTCAAAATTGGGAATTTTATACTCGACAATTACCAAATATAGCAACACCATTACATGGTCTTGTCGAATTTGAAAATAAAAATGAAGTTCTACAAATTGATTTACCTCATGGTACTTTGGTCTTAGGCGAACAAGATATTGGCAACATTCTCGTTTATTTTGTTGAATAATTTCAACTTTTTCTTTGTTTTCTTTTCAAAATCATCAAGCTCTAAAGATCGTTACATTCTATGTATTGTGATGATGTTGTCAATTTTATTGAAATAAACAAGAAAAAAAAAAGACTTTTAAAAGAAAATCAAATTTGATTAACAAGTTTTAATTGTTCTTCTTTTTTTTCTTCTGAAGATGATGCTTGCAGAATCAAATGCTTTTGTATCAATGTCATCTAGTGCCGATCAAGATTATCCACCGAGTAATATTCTTGATCCGTAAGTATTATTTGCTTTTAAAATATTAAAGAAATAAAGAAAATTTTTATTTATTTTAAATGAAAATATTTTTCGAATAACTTTGATACAGACAAGTATCACAACAATACAGTTTAGCAGTCTGTCACTATAGAACTATGACTATACAATTATGATACCTTTTGTATTATATTTATTCTTTTTTTTTTACGGTTTTTATTGCAAGTTTTGTAGAATATTTTCTATTGACAAACAAAGTTACATAATTCATATTATATTTCTTGCAACTAATTTATGGGTTTAGAAGTGAAAATTTCTGCTCTTTCCAAATAGATTTGAAATCTTGATGGAATTTATTGATTAGGAATTATGAGTAGACATGCACTAAACTCAAACATAAACCGTTTTAGTTTGGTATATGTCTAGTTATGAAAGACTTTTTGATCGACCTAAAGACAAAGTTTCGATGGAGTTTCTGTGCACAGCAAGTCGATCGGAATGAAAGTAAAATCTATTCGAATTATCTTAAATGCAAAAAGCAATCATTTTTCTACAAAAGAATATTCAAATCATTAGTTTTCTATAAAATTATCTATCAGCAATCAGTGTTTGAGTAAGAAACATATTGACATTTTTGAAATTACTTAATTTCAAGATTTACAAAATCAGCTCGATGGTTTCAGTAGGATTACTGGTACACTCTCGATTTTTAACTCTTTTTCTCAACGGTAGTGTCGTCCTTAATCTATACAAAGGAATAGTTAATAGAAGGTATTGAATATGATACATCATTGCTAAGTAAGACATGTATAAATTTATTTGTATTGTTCAATGAATGGTGTCTCGTTCATTTTCAAAATCAAACATAACGTTAGCAAACTATTGAGTCCAGTTTTCATATTTTTTTATTTTATTTCTATAGACTTCGTTAAAGTGTAAGTTTTGTTCTGATATAATTCTTAATTCATGATTTACAGCGTGTTGTTACCAATTAAACCTATGGCTACGAACTGAGCTATAATTATGAAAAGCTGTGAGAAAGACTTAAGCATATGTTACCTTCAAAGAGGTATATGCGCAAGGAAGAAAAAACAAGACTTCAGTACTCCAAATTAAGAGTGAAGTAGGGTGGTACTTGGGACTAATCAAGTCTCACTTTTTCGTCCGTTTAGGTATATGAAAATATTGAACACTAGTTTACTGAAAATATCTTTAAGTGTTAGAAACCAAAGATACTATATTTAGTGAACAAAATAGATCCATTCAACAGCAATATGTAAAAATCTTTGATCCGAAGCAACGCAAACACTGAGGAATTTCGATGAAATACCAAAGGACAAGAATAATGTCTGCAGCTAAATTTAATATATTTAATGTTTTTTTTTTTTTTGTAAATAGGTTTTTAAGAACTAGCACTGAGAAATCAGTGTGATATGAGTTACTATTAGAACAGTGAATGTCATGAATTAATCCCTAGTTTATTCACTCGATTTTAGAATTTGTCTTTTTCAGACATAATAAACTAGGTTTTACAGTATTCTGACTTTTAATGAAATTCTTAATTTTCTCCAGGAGATTGTTCTACTTATTATTTTGATTTCAACACATAAGCCGTTGTTAGTCTCCTCGTTGTTAATTAGAATATGAAAATTCGAAAGTTTTATTGGTACTAATCGATTCACATATGTGTTTCTTTTATTAGAAGTGATAAAGTCTTTTGGATGACAACAGGTTTATATCCTCAAGAATTTATTATTACATTCAAAGAACCAATTGAATTTCGACAAATACGATTTGTTACAACTAATGGTAAATAAAATTTAAAAAAAGTGTTTCGTTATTCAATTGTAAATTATTATTTATTTATTTTCTATAATTTTAGTCAAACGTTTTGTTATGTTTACTACGACCAACACAGAACCAAGGAATTTCGATACTATTCTTGAAAAAAGTAATTAAAAATCGAATATTTGTTGACATTTTAAAAATAGTTTTCATTTGAATATTTTAGCTTTACCAAATAATGAAAATGATCTTCAAATCAATGAATATACATTAGATCGTTTAACAGAAGTTCGTCATTTTAAATGCGTCATTTTAGCTGGTTATGATAGTTTTGCAAGTGTACATTCACTTAAATTCGACGCTGGAAATACACGCATGGGAAAAAAATATTAAAACAACTCAATAAGATTCAATTTGTACTTTATAATCCGTCCATATTGTAATGTCTATTTACGTTTTTTTTTCCATTAATAAAAATGAATCAATAACTTTTTAAAAATGAAATTAATTCAACAACGGAAATAACCTGCAACGTGTAACGATACGTTTCTCTTCCATTTTTTGAAGTATTCTCTTTCATCGGTCGAAAGTTCTTATTCAAAAAGAAAGAGAAATATTTCCACTTTCGAATACAAATCACTCTCCGTTTTTTTTTCTTCCTTTTGTCACCAGAGTTACATAAAAAAAAAAACATTCATGCATATACATATTGAGAATTATGAAACTATTCATTTTGTACATTGGGCTTCTGTGTTGATGAAGAATAAATAGTAACAATGGATCTCTTTACTACTTTACCAGAAAACGGAGGCAAGTCTATTAAATAATTGAAACATTCGTTTCTTTTTTAACATTAAAATTTGTATCCAGATGTACGTGCTAACGATTGGCCTCTGATGAAAGATGTTCGTCCAACTGTTGCGATAGCTATTGCCTATGTTTTTGCTATTGTTTTTGGACGAAAATGGATGAAAAATCAAAAGGCTTTTGAATTACGGAACTTTATGTTTATTTATAATGTTTTACAAGTGATATTTTGTGCTTACATAACTTATGAAGTATGAAAATGGAAAGAAATTCCTTCAAAAAGTATATTTTATATTTAGACAGCATATGTATGGTTTAAAGAGAGATACAGTTTTCTTTGTCAACCTGTTGATTATTCAAATCATATAACTGCTATTCAAGTAAGGAAAATAAGCGTAAATTTTTATTATTACGGAAGTAAACTCATCGATAATAGAGTTGCGTAAAAAGTCAGATTTTATTTTTTTCTATCATTCAAATTATGTTAATTGAATTGAGTTTAAATAATACAGAAAAATGATTCTTTTATTTTTCAAGGCTTGTAAGGCATGTTGGTGGTATTATATTATGAAAGTAGTCGACTTGATTGATACAGTAAGTTGAAAGAATGAAAAATGAACTATTTTTCATATTATTTTATGATTAGATTATTTTTGTATTACGGAAAAAAGATAATCAAATAACATTTTTACATGTTTATCATCATCTTACAATGCTATTTTTCTCATGGTACGGAGGAAAATATGTTGGAGGTGGTCAATGTAAGTAGTCCTTATGATTTGAATAGTAATCATACATTAAAATCGCTTCGAATTTGTAAAATCTGTTAATATGAAAATTTTTAGAAGCTTCTAGATTATTGAAATGTTCATATTTGTTTTTTTTCTCCTTTAGCCCTCTTTATTGCGATTTTAAATTCTTTTATTCATGTTGTTATGTATGCTTATTATGGTTTAAGTGCTTGTGGTTCTCACATACAAAAATATCTTTGGTGGAAACGTTATTTAACACAAGCTCAACTTGTAAGTTTCTTATTATGTTTTTGTTTATAAGTATATTACTCATGTTGTTTTGAATAGATTCAATTTGTTGCTGTAATTATTCACTCAAGTATTAATTTAATCACACCATGTAACTTTCCAAAAATTTTTGATATTGCATTTTTACTTTATGGCATATCAATACTGTTACTTTTTGCTAATTTTTATTTACAAAATTATATAAAGACAGCAAAACATCGAAAAGAAGCATAATCAAATTGAAATGAAAACAAACTTTATAACGTTGCATGTTTTTATTAGAAAAATTTACTAGGTTTTTTTTATTGTTTGCTGGTTGAATCGAAATAAATCTTCAAAAATAAATAATTTTACATGTCAATATTTTTACTTTTATAAAAGAAAGAATGACATCACTGTTACGCTGTTGATAAAGTTCAATTGATTGACAGAATTTCTTGATGAAAAACAATAGTTAAATGTTTAATTCATTTTTTTTCTAATCGATTATTTTCTGTCATATGAACGTTAAAAAAAGAAATTTTAACAAAGAGAATTCAATAAATGCATTATCATATATTGCATGCTCTTATTTCAATTATTCCATTAAGATTTTGATAACTTTATGTTGATAAAATATCTTCAACGTATCATCAAGCAGCGAAGACATCAGAAATAAATTAAAGTATAAAACTTTGGAAAGAAAATATGCACGGCATATCGAGTCAAGGATATACTCTTTTTTTTCGTTAAATCATATTTTCAAGTGTTATAGTTTTTTAACTAATCAAGAAAAGAAAAAAAAAATTGAGAGTCAACTTGATTATTTCTTTAGTCTCTTAGACAAGCAAAGGTATCTTTTGAGTTTACATTTCTTCTTTTACATAGAAAAATAAATATTTTATTAAAAATAAAATCATTAATTTTTGATACATTAGTGTCTGACTGAAAACTGAATATATTGATTTGAATTGTAGTTTTTTGCTCGATCGATATTTTTGGAAGAAATTGTTTTTTTTTACAATGAATTGCTCCTTTAAAATTGCACTTTGAATGTCTGATGTTCAAAAATGTGGTAATGGCTATCACTTTTTTAATGCGGTGTGAAGCACAGCATTTATGTACTGCTTCGCGTACGCACTCGGCTTCCATACTTTGCGTATTTTTCGCTATAACAAAATTTGGGGCTTATGTGGCAATGTTCTGGAGAACGGTACGTTGCTAGAAATTCGTTCAAACTATGTCAGGAAGATAGATGTCTTGAGATGACCCAAACGATTTTGAATCTTCAATACGAGTTTTCGTTCTTCTTCAGAAAGTTCCACAAAACACTAATTTTGACGACTTGGCCTCCGTCTTTTACTCGAGATAATTAGAATTAATGAGCAGGAGAAATAAGGGAAACTTTTGACAGGACAGGATCAACTCTTGGTGAAAATCGTTTATCATTCTTATGGTAACTGAAATTTCATTACCGAAAATTGAGATCGTTTGATATCACTTTTAGAATCCTTTCTCAATTTTCTTTTTCTTTTTTGTTTACTAGATGTCAGTATTGAACGTTATCGTTTTCTATGGCAATGATTTCGAGAACTGAGAGTCAAAAAATAGATAGATACACGTGCTTGTACTGTTTTATTTACGCATCGAAAAAAGTAATAGGCTTGTAGGGAGTCTTTTGCTGAACGAAACTCTTCTAGCTATTTGAAATAAAAACCGAGTATATCTCTTCAGTTTTATACCTTTGTAACGCTATAAATAGCAAGAGTAAAAACAGCTTATTGGAGTCCTAGCAAAAGTGAATATATATCTTATTAATAGCTCATTGTTCGAAATTTCATCCTCTATCTACATAGGACTACAGTAAGCGTTTTACTTGTGTAATTCATAGTGTAACAAAGGTCTATAATTTAGGTGGCATAATTTGTTTTGATTTTAAATATAAGTCTTCTATGGAAAAGATTCTCTACGAATCCACGGTGTTCAAACAACTTTTACCTTCTTCAATGCGCGAATAAGACAGCGTAAGAACGTCTATCTGTGACAAGTATATACATAGAAGACAAATACAACAATTTTCCCACATGAAACTCCTACGTAAATAGAATATTTGAAGCAATTCGCATTGCTCTTGTTTATAATATATTAAGTAATACAATGAAGCAAATATTACTGTTTGCAAAATGCATAATTGGATACTTTTGAAAGAATGAAAAGCGGCATGCTGTGATTGTATCATCAATAAAAACTAAACATATCAATGGATTGACTTCTCTTTATCTAACACCAATACAAAACTATATGATCTTAATCATCATGATACTCAGCAAAAACTGATTTCACCCACATCTATTAATTATTTATTTATATCTGAAAAATAAAGAATATCAATACTATATTATTTGCCTTGTTGTTCTCGTCAATTAACAAATAGGAAATTTTCTTTATCTGAACTATACATGTCCAAAAGTATTTCTACACATGAAAGAATGATCTATCAACAATACAAAGTTCTAATTTCATTAAAATGTCATTCTTGACAAACACTAACATGTGTTCATTCCTCATTATCTACTAATCGACCACAACGTTGATTTGAAGAATCGACTCAACATCTGTGAAAAAAAAGCTTCTTTTTTTTCTCGATCATCTCTATTCCTCATTATTAAGACACATGCTGATGATGAACAAATGAAAAATATAAAACCATGAGATATGATATCTGTACAATTATTAACGTCAGAAAAGATGATCCGCAAATATAGTTTGATTGTATGTTAGAAATATTAATTTGATCGATTGGTCGGTATTTTTTTTATTCTCTAGATAGTAAGGTTTGTGTACAAATTTAACTAATTATGCAAGCTCAATGAACAGGCCCCGCAGCAGTCCTTCTTTCCTTCTTTTTTCCTTCTTGTTTCAGAGTGTCCTTCTTCGTCCTTCTTCAATCCTAAAATCCTTCTTTTCCTTCTTTTTTTATTTTTCATACGAATAGGTTCTCAGAAACATCGAAAAACTGATTAGCAATACTTATTTAGAGTTTGACACTGATAGAAAGCTCTCAGAGCTCTAGAAAATGTTTTATTTACCTCAAGACTAATGCAAAGTTCGTTATACTTAGACTAAGGTACGCATGTATGGCTTCAGTTCATGTGGGGCGCATATGCAGAGCTTGAGATTCGTAAAATGGTGCTTCTTTAGAATACGGTTACTATCAAAAATTTCGGACATTTACTCAGTGATACAGCATAGCTGAAGCTGAGCCATCATCTTATAGTGATAGTCTTATAGCTGCCTGTGCCAATGGTCTTTCTTGACATATCGATGTTCAATCGAGATTGTTAGATTGTCGCTTAGTATAACAAAAGACGCAGTTTTATTGGTGTCTTTGTTGATAAACAAAAGCAGAAAGGCAACGGACATTCATTAATACTCAATGACAGTGCTTATATACGGAAATGGGGGGTGTTGCAAGTACGTTTATTCCAACTCAACTCAAAATCAACGTTCAACTTTCTACGCAAATTAATTTGGTAAATCAGTTCCAAACATGATTTTGAACTTCTCTACTCGAACTATAGCTCTTAATATGTTTTTCAAGTTTTTCGTTCGGTTTGGAGTTTCAGAGACGACTTTGAACTTTTCTAGTTGAAGTATTCATAAGTGACAATTGAACTTCATAGTGATCAAGAAACTGGGAACTTATCCAGTTAACTCAACTTGATAGAGGACACAAAAATCACACAGGGATTCTATTCAGAACGAGAAACCTGAAAAGGCGTATCCCGATCAAGGAAGTCGTAAGGCATCTCAATCAGAGCTCCGACTGGGATGGGACTATCCCCTCCCATCTCATCCTATGGAACAAGTTGTTTTTTTGAAATATCCCATGGGATAGAATGGAACGATTTTCTCGTCCTATTGGATTTTCTTCTTTTTTTCTCATGAAAAAATGCAGGTTCTTTTTTGATGAAAGATGGACTGAAGGTACTTTATAAAAACGGTGGGTCATAGGGTTTATTATACTCTCATTGTTAGTCTTTTTTTCAATAGAAACAGTTTCGTTTCTTATTTTGTTCTTATACTTTTTCATGAAAAAACGTTTAATGTTTTTACGGAAGTTTAAACCATGAAAAGTGAAACTGATTGTGTGAAGTTCTGTGTGCTTCAAGCTCGTTTAATTTTTAAATAATTCCACCACCGTAATTGCTAACTATATGGACAAAAAGTCATTGTCATAAGGAATCTTTATCATCTCTACTTCAAATTAATGTTCAGCCGAATTTTTTACAAGGTTTGGTTTAAAGAAAACCAATAGGTCGATTGAAAATCCTGATAGATTCTGCTGAATCTCAACAATTATCAAATTCGTCAGAGCCCATAAAGATATGCAGAAATCTACTGGATTGCATTAGAATACGAAAAGATCTTTAGAGACCTTAAGCAATCTGGGAAAACTAACTAAACTCATCAGAAGCTGAGGATTCATGGATGAGAAATAAACTGGAGAAGAAGTTTTATTACTTCTTAATATTTAGCGACATGCAGTTGAAATCTTCTAAGAAAAAAACAGATCCTGGATTCTAGTGGACTCTAGTAAATTCAGACGGATCCGATGGTTTCTGATGAATTTACTATCGTATTCTTTGAAGTTCGCTAGGGTCTTAGATCTGCATTTTTGTCATTGAAGAAAGCAGTAGGGTTTATGAGCTTCGTATAAAAAAAACTAGATGGCAATTAACTGATGTAAACGAAAAGTGGTTAAGAGAAACTGAGATGATTGAATAGGAAAGTCATAGAAGTCGAATCATGGCGTAAAAAGATGTTTTGATTAGACGGTTTGTCCCATGGGATGAGATGGGACAGATTAAGTAGGCTCATGGAATGATTTTTTCGTCCCATTTCATCTCATTCCATTCAGACTCCTGATCTCAATCGAAGCGGGATATGTCAGAAATGTCCCATGACGGGAAATATTTTGTTATAAGTTGAAAGATGATTTCGAGTTGAATTCACCTTTCGACATTAAGAGGTAAATTAATCAGTCAGCTTAATTTCGAATCATCTTCAACTTGTCACATCTCGGCGACAGAATGATGTGTTTAGGCTAACTCTTTGTCCAGCTAGTGTAAAAGTGGCTGATAGAAGTAGCCGCTGTGCGTGATACTTCTTTTCCAAGAACAGAGTCAAGATGGTGCCACATATCTCTGGCACCCTGTTAGTGGATAGATTGATCATATACGAATTTTTGTGATCACTACACAACATAGTAATGCATGTGGGTGAGGGTGTGCATGACCTGTAAAACTACCGAAAGAGTCATTGAGACATGGGGATGACAACAACATTCATGCATGTCACACAGCCAAGGAGACAAGTGCTCACCTTTGAAATTCGTTCTCTGTTATTATTCTCTATAAAACCAGGAGAATGTCCGTGAAAGGTGACAAAATAATAATTTTAAAATTATTTTACTCCCTTAGGCTCAGTTCTATTGTTTCTTATTAGATGTTGTACAAAATCTATTCGTTGCAGCGCACTATTTCGGAAAGTTTCTTCTTTTCGTTCCTTTCCTTCTTTTGTTCGAATTTCCTTCTTTTTTTTTTTGAAAAATTCCTTCTCAAAATCCTTCTTCTTCGTACCTCCCTGCTGCAACCCCTGAATTGGTGGTCGTAGCTTACTCTTCACATACACCAACGTTTGCATCATTTTATTTGTTGATCGATTACTGTATTATTATCACTCAGGAGAGAAAGGCTGATACTGAAGATGAAAATCCAAAATCAGATCACAACATAGCCTTAAAAAAAATGCAGGTTAGAGACTTCTCACGTCTATTTCAAATTAAACGAACTAAATGATTATTGTCTGTCGATCGAGTACGATTGGCATTTTTACGCGAACGAATTTTGCAATTACTTATGTGAATGTTTGAATCAAACACACGTCATTATTTAGTTACCCTTTTTACATCTGAGATGCCATCAACTATGTGGAGTCATGAACATTGAATGGACACAATGAGATTAATATGTAAGGCACGAGCTGCACAAACATAGCCTGGGAATAACAAAAGAAACAAAAATTTTCGTATCATATCAAGATGCAGACATCAGTGATGAATACAACGACTAGAGTTATGATTTAGATACAATATCCACAAAATCAGACAAATTACAGCAATATTTGGCTCGATTAATTCACAAGTCAACGTTGATCATAAATGTATTTGACTTTTGAAAGTCAAACCAAATATGTTTTCCAAAATTATCCAAGGTAACTAGGTGCATTCACTCGAAAGACAGAGCAACTAAATAACATTCTTCTGATTCAGTCTGTTGAAAAAAATGTACATTTCAAAGCATCAAATGTTCTCAGGAGTAATCATTTTTTGAACAAAATATGCTGAATTCAGAGTCTACATAATAACGAACAAATATCACACAAAGACTTGGATAAAGGTGCTGATTTTCAATCTTTCAAAATCAGCCATTGCACGGTGCAAAAAAACAACACTATGTTGGTCCCTTGATTCGAATGTAATTATTCTTTTGATCGATGTTTTCGTTGAAAGTGTTGGTGAATCCTCTTTTGCTCTACACTTTCACGCATTCAGTACTCACTTTCTTTTTTGAATTGAAGAAGTTAGCCAACATAATTATTTGGCATTCATTTCTGACTAAGCAAAATCGAAACATCTCTGTAGACCCCAGAAAGGGGACACCTCGTGCATTTTGCACACGTCTACCATGCTATCATACTAATTAAGAGGAATAAAAAAATGTTCATGTGTGAATCATCGACAGCCGTTGAAAGGTGCTTGACATCGCAAAAAAGGAATTGTCTTTTATGCGAGTATTACTCCTTTTTTTTGACTTTTTTTTCTGTCTGATGAAGCCGATACTATTCTTCGTCAAGTGTGGCCACCAGCGCAGTTTATGCTCTTGAAGCGTGATTCATCTCGATGTAACTGTAAGCTAGGCTACTTTCGTGTAATTCTTTCTTACAATTATCAAAAACATGTGCACAGAGAAAAACATTTTTAGATATTGTTTCAATTTTTCATTAGTAATTATTTTGCATCAAGCATTGAAGGAAAGAAAAAATACGTCTCTGATTGTGAATAGGTACCGATGAGCATCTCTTTTTTTTTTTTTCATTTTATATAAAACATAAAATACAATCTCCCACCGACATATGCTTTGCTCTTTAACTGACGTGCATACCAAATGACGACAAAATTAAGTGCCTTGCTAGGAGAAAATTTACTCAAAGTCAATGCTGGCCAAAGTAACAAAGCCTATCGACGAGTACTAACCAGTGAACTTGAGAACCAGGTTGTAGCAATCTATTTTTCGTAAGATAAATACTGAAATTAACCACATTTTCAAAAAATTTCGTTTTTAAGGTCTCATTGATGTGGACTGTATCAACACTGCACTTCCATATTGGCTAAATGTTACAAGAAAGTTCAATCTGAATTACACGATCGATTTGATATTGTTTATGTAACGTTGGATGAAGATGAAAAATCTTTCGACAAATATTTTCAAACTATCCCATGGAAAGCCCTTCCTTATTCAGATAGCTTAATATTTTTATTAATGAAACAATTTTACTTCTGTGAGCTCAACATAAATGTATTCAGAAACTATTACGTTGACTGTTGTCTTCCGAATTTCAATAGTTTCTTTATTGTTTGAATAGTGTACATGACAATTCTAAAGTAATACTAATGAGTCACATCATATTCGTGGAAACTTGGTTCTATGTGTTATATTCTGCACTTACTATTTTATGTCCTTGTCTTTACGGTTATACTTTGGTTTGTGCATGAGGCGACAATATTCTTGCGGAAAATAACTGATTTTTCTCTACTAATAATTAGAATGTACGTACAAATATCAAACTCTTGTCTATTCTCTGTTTTGGTATTTTGATTTTGTTCAACTCTGGTCAACGTTTTATATTTCTTCAATAATGAAACATAATATGAAAAATAAATGCAGTAAAGAGAAGAGATAGAGTAGCAATGAAAGAAAAATAAATGAGAAATACTTTTAGTACATACACAATTGACAAATTTGTTCTGACTATTTCATTTCATCAACTTTTCATGAAAAGAACTCGTGCTATCATGTTTTCCATACCTTTTAATTGTCATAGTTACCTGTATTTTGTTCATTGAAAACAGATGACTTTTAATTTTTGTTGATTTATAGTTAAATAACTATTAGCAATGAGTGATACAAGCATTATGTCTACAAAATCTTCAGATGACAGACATAACAAAAAAACGATGAATGGTAATCATGAAAATTCATCATGTTGTTCTAGATATTGGTTTATAATAATCAATAGTCTTCTTTCACTTATTCTTTTGATAACATCAGTTCTATTAATACATACTTTACATAAACAAACAGAACGTGATCGTAAACGTCAACATATTAAAAATGAATTTAAATGTAAACATCATGTTGCAAATAAAGTTTTAGATATAATTATGAAAGATGGTATTGTTTACAAATGGATAAAAGCACACAAGGGTTCAATTGCAACAACATTTAAAGAATTATTTACAGATATAGCTGAAACAATTTTTGATCGATGAACATAAAAACGATTTTCTATAAGTTCGTTTTTCAACAAATAACCCGCGTGATAAAAATATTAACTTCTTTCTCATTATTAGTTTAAGAAAAAAAAAAAATCATTTGTGTTCTTATTTATCTTTCTGTTATCTTTCAAACGAGTCAAATAAATAGAAATATGGTTGATGATGATGATCGATATCATGATGAAGATTCATGCTTTGAACGAAATACTGCGAAAATAATTGTTATTATCCTCTTAACTATCATTGCAATAGGAAGTTCCACTGCACTCACTGTTGTTCTAATCAAACAGTCACAACGTCATCGTGCTGCACTAGCAAAAAAAAGTATATGGTCAACTCGACTTAAAGAATGTGCACCAATTTTAAAAGTTGCTGGTCCAATTATTTTAAACATAATCAAAGTGGCATCTTCTATTATATTACTGTGATTGTTTTTATGTAAACCTGTGCTATAAATGAAATACTACTCATGTATTCTTTTTTACATTAAAAAACAAAAAACTTAGAAACTATGAAATCAATGATTTAATTCATTCTACAACTCACTCGTCTTGCTTTGTTTTGTTATGTTGATTTAAGATATTTTCTATTTAAAAGCGACTTTTTTGCAACACTTTCAATGATTTTTATATTTTTAGTTATCAAAACACACCACAACATGAAAACAAGCAAAAGCAACTGTTACATAAAAATGTACATATTAAACTTCAGAAGCTAACGTTGATATATGTAAATCCTGATTTAGTGACATGATATCTAGTAATTGTTTTGTGTCTTGTATAAATGAAGATGCTGACATTCGAGGTGTTATCTCATTATCAACATTTGACATTGATCGTTCTTCCTGTTGAAGTGATGATGCACAAGATAATGATATTGGTAGAGGAGGAGATATTTGAGGATATATACTTATTGATGGGATTGTGTCTTGTTCACTAATTTGATTAATATTAAACATATATGGTTCTAAAATAAATATTTATTCAAAATAGCAAAGTTACAAAATCCAATGACTTACTAGATTTGATGTGTTCAAAAGAAGGTGATCGAGATTCTCGAACAACAATTGAATGAACTCTTTGCTAAAGAAATCATAATCGAAATAATTGAATTGTAAAGAAGAAAAGAAATGCTGTTAGCACAATCTTTTTTGCGGAGTCTGTCAAATTCAAAATTCTTCGGCGTGGACTCGGTAAACTCATACTTTGATACTCTCAACGAAATTTTCTAAATGACATTAAATAGTTCCTCCAAAGACACACGATTTTTTTTCGATGTTTTGTATTCAGTGACTAGCGTATCGTACACATTTCTCAGATGATTATATATAGCTGCTGTCATACAGTAAGAAACTAGTTCATTTATATTATAACAAGATGCTGTTGATAATGTCACAATCTGTGACGTTCATATCGTTACGTCTGTAGGAGTGAGAAGAAACGAGTCTGAAATCTCTACCTCTGTATTTCAATATCATCTTTCAGATGGAGTTTCGCAAAGCAAGAATTGTGATTAACTTACTGTCATTTTTGTTGATGAAAGACGTTGTGCATTGTTTAAACCATATTTTTTTCCATAAAATAAATAGTTTTTTATTGTTAAACATAAACGAAAACCTTTTAGTCGACAAATAATTAATATTAATGTTATTGTTGCCAAAATAAATACAAGTGAAAAAGCAAATATTGTTATTTCAATAGGTCGAGGTGATAAAATTGATTTAAAAATAAAATTTTTAGTTTTACTTTTTGTAGAAAACAAAGAAAATTGTTGATTAATTATTGTAATATTAAAACAATAATAATTATATGAACATAATTCATATTGAGTTTTATTTATATAATTTAAATCAAATTCATTAATTAACATTCGACATTCATTAATAATTATTTCATTTTGATTAAGTAAAATTATAAAATTTGAAAAAAATGAAATATGTAAATTAGTTTGAATTACTTTTAATTGTCCAATTTGATTTTTATTATAAATATCATATAGAAAATAAGTTGAATTTTGTAAACAAATGTTAAGTAAAGATGAAGATGAAGATGAAGATAAAGATGATTGAATAAGATTAGAAGTAGTTGTTAATTGATCAATAACAATAAATTGTATTGTTATATTTGTTAATAACCATTGTTGAGTTAATTCATGTTTTATTCGAATATTTAATAAATAAATTAAATTTGACATAAGATAATTTGAAGTTTTTAATATAAAATTATTTATTGAAGAAGAAGAAGAAGAGAGAAGTGAAAATGTTGAATAATAATTCTCAAGTGAAAGAATATATTTATCATATGGATAATAATAAGATAAAATATTTAATTGAAATAATATTTCATTTATTGATATATTTTTATAAATAAAAAAAGTATTTGAATTATTTAATTGTTGAATAAATAATGATTTAATATTAAAATGATATGATATATTATTAATATAATTAAATGAACGAAAAAATAATTTAACTTTAGTAAAAGATTTTATATTTTCATTATTTAAATAAAAACTTTCAATTAATAATTCAATATAATTATTAAAATTATTAATATTAATAAAATTTTCATTTGATAAATATAATTGACCTGTTAAAGAATTTATTTCAATAAAATTTGTTTTATTTATTAATTTATATAAAATTTTATTTTTTTTATCATTTGATTTTGCATTAACATAACCTAAAATAGTTCCATTTTTAATTGAAGAATTTATTTTTATTATAAATTCATATTCAGATAATAAAAATTTTGGTTTTTTTAATATTTTTTCTATTTTAATATTTATATTCATTGAATTAAATAATTCTTTATCATATAAACCATAATCAATTGCATATAATATTAAATTATATTCATTTTCAATATATTCATTTGATAATAATGGTGAAATAAATTTTAATGCTAATTGATCATATTGATTTAATAATGATGATTGGGATAATATTTCAAATTCAAATAATGGATAACAATTTATTAATGATTTATTTTTATTTTCTTTTATTAATAGTTTTTCTTTTTTTATTGAACAATCAAGTATATAACGAATTTTACCATTTAAACCTTCATCCAAATCTTTTGCACCTTCAAATAATATTTTATATCCACCAAATATATTTTCATGAAATTTTAATTCTATTGAAGAATTTTTAAATTCTGGTTTATTATCATTTTCACTATAAATCAAAAAA